CCCACCTTCCTTGTTTCTCTCCTACCTTTGGGAATTTCATCTCATTAGTTTCTTTGCTTATTGTTGCCCCCTTTAATTTTTTAATTTCTTTATTTTCTTAAATTTTTTTTTTAACAAATACCCAGTTCAACTCTTGACCTCCCTTGTACCTTTTTTTTCCCCTCCTTCTTATATTTATCAAGTCTACGTTATTTACGTCTTCTCCGAACGTTTTTTATTATTTAGGTATTACAATGGAGCCTGTGCATGTATTTGATTGCTGGAGAAGGAGTGGATTGAACCAACGCGGTGAAATGAGAGGATAGGTAGCATGACTTTATATTTACTATCTTGCATCGTGGGTGGGGAGTTTCTCCATGTTGATAGCGATATATAGAGTCGTGAACATTGCAGCCTTCAAAGAGGGGGAAGGGTAGGGGGAGTGTCGCCTGCTATATATATTGTAAACCACATTTCATAACGTATCGAAATTTCGAGTTCAATGTAGATAGATCTATAGTAAATAATTCGTCGTAGTAAATACGGCCTGGTAAAAATACATGAAGGAAGAATCTTCTGTTTGGGGGGGAGGGAAAGAGCAATATATTTCTATGAGTTTTTCCGAAAATCTTTGCGATCCGCATTAACAGATACAAAGAACCGAACTTAATCCATTGACCAAATAATAGTTCTTACCTCTTCTCCCCTCCCCCACTCTTCCTCTTCCTCTCCAATCCAACCAACTTCTCCATCTCCTCCACCCACCTCTCCGCAAACATCTCATCCGAAAACCTCCTCGACGACTCTCTCGCCCGCAACCTCATCGCTACCCTCTCTTCCTCCGGCAGCGCCAACGCCGCCTCAAACGCCGCCGCGAACTCCAGCTCCGTCGTAGCCCGAAAGCCCGTCCCGCCCTCCCCCAAATCGACAACGATGTCCTGGCGAGGCCCGCCAGAGTCATGCACGACGCTGATCAGGCCCGCCGCCTGGTACTCGACCACGCCGATACCGAAGTGCTCGTTCCACATGGCGTTGACGCCGATGGAGGCGCGGCGGAGGTGGGCAAGGATGGTGGGCCAGCTGGCGTCGCAGAGGAAGGTGGTGTTGTCGCGGATTTTGAGCTCGTGGGCAAGTAGGCGTAGATTGTAGATGTGGGTTTCGTCTGGGCTGGAGTGGCGGACGGAGCCGATGAGGATGAGCTGTGGAGATTGTTTAGGTTGGGATTTACTATGGGTCTTTTTGAATTCGTTGAGGAAACGGGAGAAGGCGCGGAGGATTAGGGCGTGGTTCTTTTCTGGGCGGAATTGGGCGATGTAGAGGATTGTTGGGTCGCGGGATTCTCGCTCATGGGCGAGATCTATTTCTATGGATTTTAGTTCCGAGACGGCCACAGGGGGGAAAACAACTGTGGGTTCTTTGAATTCTCGTCGCTTTTGCCGTGAGGGGAGCCAGAGAGAGTTTATATGTGAGGATGTCCAGGATGAATTGCACATGACTACATCAATTGTTCCACCAACGCAGCCGTATAGCTTTGCGAATGCGTGCCAATATTGTCGTTTCGCAATTCCCTTCCAGCCGGTTCCTGCGCCAGCGTTTAGACCCTTTGTACCCGAGGTATCATCAAGGGAGTCGAGCATGTCTGTCGATATAGTAGGGTAGTGGACGTACGCTCCAGTCGGGGTCGAGGGGAAGAGGAAGTGGCAGAACGCCAGGACGAAGGAATAACCCATAGTGTCGATAAAGATGTCGGGAACTACGAGAGTGAATGCGTCGTATCCAAGGACTAAAGAACCCAAAGATTGGCCAAGGAGAGTAAAACGGGGATATAAGCTGCTGAGGACATATCTGCGGGTTGAAAGATACAAGAATACAATCGTTGGAGGGTAGAGGCGGATATTGAAACGGTTCTATACATTGCATGTTAGCTAACGGCCATATTTTGCATTTTAATAAGAAGAACCAACGCACCTCAACTCTTTCAAGCATCGTGGTCTTATTCAGGTCATTATCCCCTGTGTAGATCGCGCATATAGCTTTCGGCCAGCGTTTTTGTGTGGCTCTTACTGCCGCCCAGAGGACACGTTCACCCCCTCCACCAGCATTGCTGCAGAAAGATCGATTAGTCGACTTGCATCGGGAACAATTAATTGCAGCACTTAAATCCCTTTTTCCTTACCAGAATGGATGAAAAAATCCTATGATGCCTTCCCAATCGTCCTCCGCAGCATCCGCGTGAGAAGCGGTTCCTATGCCGCCTGTTTCGACTTTCTCCCAATCCTCATCTTCCTGCTTCGCATATTTGGGTCTTCTTAACTGATATTCCTTCTCATCTATTTTTATCCGGGCACGTAACAGGTCCCGCTTCCACCGATATTTCCTGGCAATGAGCCATCCAATCAACCTGAAAACACAGCGGAAGACAAACGCGGCCAACCGCGGAGCAATCAGAAAGAGCGCGAGAAGCGTCACAAGCGTAGCAACAGATGACGCGGGTGACAACATCATGCCATGCAGTCAGCGGAGAGAAATAGTAGACGCTGACAGCGCATAGTGGAGGATCAAGTAGCTTTGCTCGAGATATTGCCCAGGAGAAGATGTTCCTGTCATCTTACAAGTTACTCTGCCTGGAGTTTTTGTTGGCCCTTACGGCCGTTGCGGTTAGCGATCCCACTAGATCACGTGACCCACCACTATAATATGTTCCTGTAGATAGATCTATCAATACAACCTTCAACTATCCTACAGGTTATAGCCCGGATGGCACGTTTTTCTTTTTAGAACGTTGTACCAACACATTTTTGACACGGATAGTTCACCTTTTTTGGAAAGACTCTTACTCTTTATTAGAGATATTCCATTTTCCCTGAATCTGCCAGTCAGCGGATTCATATACTTTATTTTTTTTGAGAAAGCGCGTTCTCCATTGTGGAGGATATCACTTTTTATCTTTTTTTTTTACACACCTAGGAGAAGCAGAGTCACCTCGATATGAGTGATACGCCTGTTACTCCAGAGTCCAGCTCAAGGCCCAGGACCACACGCTCCACTAGACGACTCATTGATAGGATGACCACTCATTATGAGGAAGCTCCTGACTTGCAAGATGAGGCTGAGGTCAGTTTTCGCCAGAGTATGGAATTTGATGATGAGACAACGGAGGAACTTCAGGACAAAGGAAAGCAGAGTCAACCCCAACATCCATCTGCAGAATCTGTTCATTCCAACCCATCGAATCCTCCACCGTCCCCCACCCCCGGAATGCCGACTTTTAATGGTGATCCGAATCAACCTATCTATTGCACCGCAGGCAATCTTATGGATCTTATGCAGATGATGCTACGGAACCAGATGGCTGCGGCTGAAACCACTCAACATCTCACTACACCTGCACAAAGAGACACCACGAGGGATGAGTTGCGGGAATACCAGAAGGAAGTCAAATATGCACTAGACACCAAATCAGTGACCACATTTGATGGCTCTAATTATGAAGCCTGGCGTGTCGGTATGTTGGCTGATGCGGAAGTTATTGGCGGAACCGACATCCTATTGAGGACCCAACGAGAATCCCCTTTTACACGTCATATCGACTCCGAGAAGTGGAGGATCCGTTCCAAGTCTCTATATAGGCGTATGCTATCGAGTCTTGTTGGAAACGTTCGAACTACTATTGGAACCTTGGAAGCTGACAATGCTGCGGCCCTGTGGGACAAGATCAATGTGGAATATGCGATATCACTGGCAGAGGAACGAGTTAATGTCTTCAAGGAATTGACAAAATTACAAGTCAAGGAGAATGATTATCTTACTTTCCAGAGACGTTTCCGCTATCTTGTTGCCCGTCACAAGGAGCTCTGTCAGAGCACTGAGGATATATACCATGATCTCTTCCTCAACAATCTACAAGATTATCAAAGACCGTTTGTCAAGACACGTTTGGATGAGTTTTTCTCCACTGGCCAGGGACCCATTATCAACATTGATATTGATGATTTGATGAAGCAACTGACCAATCGTACATCCAAGAAGATCACCACCGAGCGGAAAAAGCAGCCTCAGGCTGATTCTGTGACTGCGAAAAAGGACAAGGACAAAGATAAGGACAAAGATGAGGACAAAAGCACACCTGTATGGAAGTGCACCCACTGCAGAAGATATGGACATACTGTTGACAGGTGTTTCATCTTACACCCTGATAAAAAGAGAAAGAAGGATGACAAGAAGGATGACAAGAAGGAAGAGAAGAAGGATGACTTGATGAGTTCTCAACCAGCAGCAAATGCAGCAATTACGAAGGTTGAGTCCTATTCCTCTTCCACAGTCACTGGAAAACCATCCTCTAGATCTTGGTATTTGGACACATGTGCAAGCCTGAATATGACGGGTGAGCTTCATTCTTTCTCAAACATCAAACCTTTTAATGGTAACATCTCTGTCGATTCTGCCACTGGGGGAACTGGGTTTGTTAAGAAGATTGGGACTGTCACCTTGGAGGTTGAGGGTGGTGATGTTAACTTGCAGGATGTTCACTATATTCCTAATATTACAGTTAACCTGCTCTCATTTGCGAAGCTTGAAGATCAGGGATTCCGATTTACATTGTCTTCCACTATTCCCTCTTTTTTCATTTGCAGAGCCCCGAACGGTGTTATTTTCCATGCAGTCCGGACCGCTCAGAACAACATATATAAGGTCGACGAACGGGAGTCCAATGAGGATCCCAATCATCCGAACAGGGCAGTCAAGTATATTGCGATGATGCCCCACGAGTACGATTTTGATCGAAAAGTTGATTTTCCTGTGGCTGCTGCCACTACTGTTAATAATGTCGATTCTGCGGACACGAATACAGGTCTCAAGACACAGACATCAAAGATATCAAAGACTCTTTTGGATTGGCATTACGACCTCGGTCACATCCACGCTGGTGCTATAATTGCTATGGCCAAGGATCCCCATACTGGAGTCACAATTAAGGGTCCTAAGACTAAGTTCTTTTGCGAGGAATGTGTCAAGGCTGGTATGACGCGAGATTATTCGAAAACACCGATGCCTAGATCTATCCGACCCATTGAGAAGGTCCATATTGACCTTGCAGGTGGCGGACGTACATTGGAAGACCTCTCTGACCACCCCTTAGAGTCCCGCCAGGGGACCAAATACTGGATGCTCATCACCTGTGATGCAACTCGCTACCGTTGGGTATATTTTTTGAAGTCCAAGGATGAAGCTGTTCAATACTTTGAGTTGTGGCTCAGATTCATGGGTAATCTCGGGTATACAGCCCCTGCTTTTCTACGGACCGATATTGATGGTGTTTTCCGATCCACACGTATGCACACAGTTATGGATTCATATGGTATCAAATGGGAACCAACGGCACCACATTCGCCACATCAGGATGGTGTTTCCGAACGTGGAATCCGCACTATCATGGGACGGGTTAGAGCTGCTCTTTTGAAAGGTAATCTTCCTAAGAAGTTCTGGGCAGATGTTCTAGAGACAGTGGTTGCAATAACCAATAATACTCCCACATCTACAGTCCTTTACAACTCGAAATTTTGGCCCTCTACTGCAGAGATCCCTGTGGTTCCAAGTCCACATAAGATTCCTTGGTGTGCACTTACGAATACCCCGCCGAATGTAAGGCATTTTCGCCGATTGGGTGCAGAGGTTTTTGTTCACTTGCATGGATCCCAGCGGCCCGCGGATAAGCTTTCTCCACGTGCCGATTCCTATCGTATCATTGGATTCAGTGGCACATCGATATATCGCCTATGGCATCCCGAATCTGACAAGATTATTGCCAGTAGTGATGTGAGGTTCCCGATCGCCGAAAAACCGGTTGTCACATCTGTGGCACCCATTAATAATGCCGGCGAACCGGAACCTGATATTCATCTGGTTGATGATGAAGATGCTCCCGACATTGATGATCCGAATTCTACATGGTTGCGGCCCGCGAAATCGCTGGCTACTTACACTCCAAGCCCCATTACAGGCAACCTCCCGAAGTCCTACAAGGATGCCACATCTCGGCCAGGGGGGGTAGGAGATTATTGGAAGAAGTCCATGCAACGCGAGATTACCGACCTGGAGAGACGCAATACATGGAGTTTGATCCCTAGATCTGACGTCCCGAGGGGTGAACCGATTGCTCCGGGCCGTTGGGTGTTCCTTGAGAAAGATAGGCCCGCGGACCCGAATGCCGATCCTGATGGTATTCTTAGAAAATCGCGTTGGGTGATTTGTGGTAACTGGCTTAAGAAGGGTTCTAGAGAAGAGACCTACGCTCCTGTCATCACTGATACTGCTAATCGTATTCTTTTTGCAATAGCAGCACTACGCGGTTGGACACTCCGTCAAGTGGATATAGTGATGGCATATCTTCATGGGCGCCTCACTAAGAAGGTCTATATGAGGCAACCCACCGGATTTGAGGCAGGTTCGCCGAAAACGCTTGTCTGCGCGGTTGAGGGTAGTTTATACGGCCTGGACCCTGCGGCGAAGATCTGGTATGATTACTTGACAGCTCTGTTGAGCGATCTTGGATTTACAGTCAGCGCCCATGATCCGGCACTCTGGTATCATACATCCAGACGTCACCTCTATATGACGATCTACGTTGACGATCTCAACATCATATCCGAGGCTCCTGAGAATGCTGATTGGCTAGTGAGTATGCTCAGTGAGAAATTGGAAGTCAAGGATCTACGCCAGCCAACCAAGTATTTGGGTATGGAGGTCAATTGTTCAGACAAGGGAATTGGTTTGACACATTGTCAATATATCAAGTGCCTTGTTGAAGATTTCTACCTTGATGATGCAGCTGTCGCCAGGACACCTATGGAGGATGGATTTCGCATTGACGATTCCCCTATACCTGAGAAAGAGGCTGGTTTCACAATTCAGCGATACCAACATGGTGTGGGTTGCTTGCAATATCTCGCAGTCAAAACACGTCCTGATATCGCTCGCGCTGCCTCACTACTCGCTCAACGGAACGTTGATCCAACACCTCAATGTTGGAAGGCCCTATTACACGTCATACGTTATTTGAAAGGGACCATGGATCTGGGCATTTTCTACGGACGCGGCCCGTATGAGGGGTCCGTTCCTACCGATCTTTCCATTACCCCTGATTTCCCCGATGATTCCTACCTACCCTTCGGCTACTCGGATTCCGATTGGGCCGGCCCCTTGAATGGTGATAGGAAATCAACATCCGGCTACGTTTTTAAGCTCGCAGGCGGCCCGATTTCATGGCGTTCGGCGAAGCAACCTTGTGTATCTCTAAGTTCCAATGAGGCCGAATATGTGGCTCTTAGTGAGGCGGTCCGCGAGGCAACATGGATCCGGAACCTCATGATTGAGCTTGGCTTCATCACTACATCTCCGATACGGATCCTCGCCGATAATAAGGGTGCCATAGATCTCACAAAGGTGGCAGCCATTACGGCCCGAAGCAAACACATTGACACGCGTTTCCATTTTTCGCGTTGGCAGTTGAATCAGGGGGTCATTGATTTAGAATACGTTCCCACCGCTCAGATGGCGGCGGATGGACTCACTAAACCCCTAGGCAATGTGGCATTTGCGCGATTCATGGTTTTGCTAGGTCTT